ATGAACATTGAGTGTTAGTAGCTTTATTATGAGGGTTAGCAATTATACAAAAATCGGAAGTTAAACTAAAAGTGAACATAAAGAGATGTAAATGTGAAACTATATGCCATAAGTTCAACACAAATTATTTTTGTGTCAAAATTTGCATTATGTTCTTTTCTTTTTTGTAATTACTCTTTCTAGTTTAAACCTTCCACAAATTTATCTTATTTTCTTACACACTATTTTTATTCAAGCAATTAAATCTCAATATTCTCGGCAATTGGAAACTATCCATGTAAGGTAAACTCAATTCAAGAACCTTTTTTTATTACTTTTTGACTAGTAAACTTGTCAATGAACATTATGCCCATAAGAGCCATAAATTCATCACTCGTTTCCTTTTGCCTTTCGATTAGTACACTTGCCAATGTAACGCCCTAAGTTTTATAATTTCTTTATAACAATTATATATATATATGTGTGTGTGTGTGTGTGTGTGTGTTGTGATTTAGATGTGCATTGTGATTTATGTTAGTAATGTGGATATGTATGTATATAAATGAATATGAATATATATAAGTATATGTGTATGTGGTGAATTAAAATGTGGCTGTTGACTTGTGATTGGATTGAAAATGCTTGAGAATAGGCTGATGTGGTGCGGTAGGAATATTCTCACTGTAGTAATAGGATTCTCGTTGTAGCGAGAAGGTCCTGGGAAAACTCGTGTGTCTCTCACTGTAGCGAGAAGGTTCTCGTTGTAGCAAGAAAGGTGCAAGTGATGAGGGAGCCTCTATTGCATTCTTGTTGTAGCAAGAGGAGTCTCACTGTAGCGAGAAGGTAACAGAGAAGGGTAATTTTCTGGGCTTAGTCTTGCTATAGCGAAATTACGCAGAAAACAAGGTGCAGATTTAATTCCCACTCTTGGAGTATTTAAGGGATTTAGGTTCGGGAAAACATAATTCCCACTCTTCCCTTCATCTTTCCTTCGATTCTCTCAACCCCTCACCCTATTTCACTGATTAAATTGCGTCCAAGACCATTCGTGCCCTAGATTGAAGGTTGTGGTTGTGTTTTAGGCATTTAGAGGTAAGTTTCATGAGTTAGGATTTTTTATTTTTACCCTTTCTTCATTTCTTTTGATTTCTCATGGATTATTCCATGTATTTAGGACAAAAATCCGTATAGGGGGCAATCTACCATCGATTTTGTAGTGGGTCTTCATTCCAAGGTAAATGGGGACTTTACCCTATCTTTTGGTGTTTAGAATTTGTTTGTATTGTTATGTATTGCAATGTGAGTGATATAGAACGTAGAAAAATATGTGTGATGAAAATGGTCGAATGTGTATATACGTGCCATGACTGAGAATTTGGGTGAATGTGTGTAGATGGCATGTGATTTTGACTGTGGATGTGTTTGAAATGATTGAAAACTATGAATGGTTACAGCGATACATTTGAGTGTGAAAGATGGGGACGGTAGAAATATTTTGGAAAAAAGAGAGTGGTGGTGACACCAATAGTGAGCGTGGATGTACCACAGGTTATACACTTTTCTCCTGACTCAACCTCTAATCAATATCTTTGCTAAGGGACCCGTGACCGCACACATTGTATCCGTGAGGTGGGGATTAACTGGCGACCATCCATGGTGTGAAATTGAGTAAGTCCCTGAGGTTGAGGGCTTCAGGAAACTGTGATCACAGTGCCACGATGAACGTGACTAACATGCAGTGAGCATACATATGTGTGTGGATTGATTTGAGGTGTAGTGAGTGTACCTGTGTATGAATTGGTGTGAATGATTGATGTGTGAATATGGTGAGTACATTGTTGGAATGAATTGATTAATATTTGCTCAAATGTATGATTTAATTCTATTAAGAAATGCTTGAATATGTAAGGTAAGTCTTCATGTCGTGTTTGTGATAGTGTAGAGTACTCACCCTTACATTTATTTTTTAAGTGAATAAAATGATCAACACCAAGCTCAGTGAATAGGATGGATGCTATAGGACTTAGAAAATTATTTTTGAAAATTGTGATGTATTAAATAGGTTGTGTAGCATTTATCTTGGTTCAAAGTCGACTCTGATTAGTATTGTTCAAAATTGTATGCCATTTGGGGGTTCATCTAATGAAGACCCCAACCTCCATCTAAAAAAGTTGCTCCAGTTTACAAATACCATAAAGTACAATATGATCACTTCTGATGTTATCAGACTTCGCCTTTTTTTCATTCTTTGTCACGAAAAAGGTTAATGCATAGTTCTTGACGTTACCAACCAATTCCATCACGACATGAGATGATTTGACCCACCAATTTTTAAGAAAATACTTTCCCCCATCTCGTTCTATTGAACTCATCACATAAATCTCCAGCTACAAGCAGTATGAGTGTTAATCCCTATATGAGGCCTAGAAGCAATTCAGAGAACTTCTAAAGAAGTACCCATATAATTGTTTTCTTGTTTGGTGTAATAGAGTATAATGCATTAAGAATGTGTCATTTTATTCCATTAAGCAACAATTAACTCTACCAAAACTTTCAATAATTTTTGTACAGCTAGACATAGTACTAACATTGACTTATTGCATTACTAAATGAGGAAAAAATATTGTTAAAATTTATATGAGTTGTTGCACTATCAACAAAAGCTATGTTTTCATTGTTACTATCAACCAAAAAAACCCTCATTCTTTAATGCAAAATAAATAACAAATAAACTTAGATACTGAAACAATAATTGAAAATTAAAATTTATTTATTTACAATAACTATATTAATAATTTAATTTAAATAATAACTATATTAGTAAAAAAATTATTACGATGCTTGATAATTTATTTTAATCATTATTATTTTTTAGAAAAATATACTAAATATAAATTAACATGTAAAAGAAATACATAGCAATTTAATATCATAAAAATATGATAAATTTATTTTCAATAAAAAAAAATTAATATCTAAGTGAGTAACATTCATATGATCATAATCAAAATCATTATCTTCACAAACAAATTTGGTTTCAATTTTATTTATTTTTACACAATTCTTGATAAAGATCAATAAGATACTTTGATGTAGAATAAATATAAGACCAATGACTTTTGGTTCTACAAAAATAGCATGTTTTCCATATTTTTGTTACTTTGGATACCTTTACCTTTTTTAATTTTCTCATCATTTTTCCACTTCTAGTAGAAAATGTATATTTCTTATTATTACCACACCATGTCCATTGCCATTACAAAGATTACAATTATTGTTACATCTACAACCACAACAATGACCATGATCGTAAGTTTGTCTATAATTATAATAGTTACGTTGTTACATTCACTTTTAATAATAGAGTAATGCTAGTCGGATGAGATTTATAATTTTTCATCAAAAGCTTGTCATTTTGTTCAACTATAAGGAAATAAAAAATTAATTCAATTTTTTTAAAATCTTTTTCATGATATTGTTGTTACATGAGCGTATTAGATGCATGAAAAGTGAAGGATGCTTTTTCTAATATACCTCATCAATAACCTTTTTCTCCAAATAATTTTAAGTAAGATGAGATTCTAAATAATGTTAAATTATACTTACTAACAATTTTAAAATCTTATGAGTGTAAATGCATATAATCATAACAAGCTTTTGGTAAGATGACTATTTTTTTGTGACCAAAAAAGATTATAACTTTAACCTTATCTTGATTATACCTTTTGTATTTAAATGAGTTTTAACATCTAATACCTATGATAAGTATGTTTTTTTTGTGTAATATTAAGTATCACAAATTCAAGGTTTGTAATATTCAGCATATTTAATACTATTATAACAATATAAAAGTAAGTTAGATATCATGAAATATTGTACTGATGCAGTGTTGCAAATCTTAAATTACTAGCAAATTTTTTTTGTAGACACAAATTTATAATTTAAATTAAAACAAATAAGTAATAATACATTTCTATAAGAAAAAAAAGTATCATACTTGTTTATGAGAGAGTTCCTTCCTTGCAAAAGTGTGTATTAGATCTTGATATTAATATGTTATAAAATTAACATAAAACTATAATGAGCAAATAAAAAATAAAAAAACAAAATAAAAAAAAACAAAGAATTTTAATTTTATTTCAGATATTCTTAATAATAATAAGTTTTTTCATTTATAAGCCTAAATTTATAATTGAAAAGTCTCATATCCTTGTATAAAACAGTATTACAACTTCTTAAATTTCAAAGAATACAAGAACGTACAAAGATAAATACTCATTTATATTAATTTATAACAAAATAAATATAAAATTTTAAAAAATACTTCCTTATATGCAAGGAACTATATCAAGTCATATTTTTATTTCTCTTTTAATTATCAATGAATATACCATAAATATATAATTACAATAATTATACATCTATTTAAGGAATAGTTTAAATTTTTATATATGTTAACTTAGAAAAGTCTTTTTATATGCTCAGAATAATAATTTTTATAAAAAAATAGAACATTTATTATTCTTGAATATTTTTTAAAATAAAAAATTTGTCTTTTTTAATTGTACATTTTAATCTTTAGTTAACATTTTTTTTGGAAAAAATATTAAAAATAAAACTTCTTAATATAATTTATATTTCTTGGTTTGATAGAAAAAATTGTCTACTTTCTTGAATTCTCATCTATCATTCTTTACATAATCGATTTTATTGTTTACACATACAAGCGTTTTCATCCTTATTAATAGTGTCTCAACTTTCTTATGACATGATTGTTATGATGATTTCTTACGATGAAAAAAGAAAAAAAAACTAAGGTTATTATTTTTTTATAAAACATTATTAAGTGAACAAGTGACAATTACTTTCCTACCTAAAATTAAAATAAATAACTTTATTTTTTATTTCTTAAAAGCATTTTAAATCTGTACAGTGCCACGTGCTAACTCGGCGTCGACCAGAACAGTGATCATCTCCATCCCCACCTCCAAACTTTCCTCTTCTATACAATACCCTGAGTTGTCCAGTGAAACAGTTGCGGTGATTCTCATGAAAAATGTTATAATTCTCCTTTCCTTTGCTTTCTGCATTGAAATTTCTCACTATCAAATCATTTTTCGCGGTCATTTTCTGTAAGATTCCCTCTTTTCTGGATCGAAACCCTCTTCTTGTAAATAATGTGGAAAATTGGTAGGTCAATAACCGGAGATAATGAGGAAGATGAAGGAGAGAGTTTGTTGGGTGAGGACTCAGGTGGCCTCTGCTCGCTCTCTACAACACAGGTGCTGTTAACACTTTACTCACAAATCTTCATCCCTTACATTTATGTAACCTTAACATTCAAGTTTTTCACTGAACAGAGAATTTACGGATTCGCTGCTTGTTTGGTGGCTGGTCTGGTTTGCATGTTACTGGTGAGAGAAATCTGTGTCTTCCTTTCCTTTCATAACTTTCGATTAGGATCCTCTCATGTGAAGTTTCACGTGAGAGATTTGCAGCGTTTAATCTCCCCTTTAATTTTATTAAAATATATTATTTAATAAAATTTTATATTATAATAATATATATTTGATTATGGAGATTTATAATGCAGTGGTGGTAATGTGACTTGAGAGGATCTCTTTCCCATATCTATATTATTATAATTGCTGTTTTTTACTTGTCAAATGTAGAATTTAACTAGTAAAAATTTAAGTAGTAAAAGAAGCCATAAATCCCATATTAATTAGTGATAAAAAGTTAGATTAAGGGCAAAGATTTAGTTAAATGAAATATAGACTTTTTGTCTACGTATTCTGGCCATTGATATTACAATTTGTCTTGGTGCATTGTGGCAACTAATGATGTTTCTTTCTCCTGTATATGAAATCAGCTATATTTTGTGCTTCACCCACACAACAAATAACTGAGATCAATTTTCTTTTGACATTTTGTCTGTAAGAGGAAACTTTCCCACTACCACTGACTGAAGGTGTAACAATAGTTTCATTTTGCCGTCATGCTTTTTTCTCCTTATCTTGATGCAGTGAGTTTCTTAGCTTGGTTCCTAAAAAAGATGCTACATCTTGCAAACTGGTTTATGAGGGTTGGACCTTGCCATGTAGTTGCTTCAAGGAACCTGCTTAGAGAGAATCCTAGTTGGGCCATGGCAATGTACAAGTTGCCACTGGCAGTATTTGTCACATGAAGTATCTGGAATGCTCTTGGTGAAAAGATTCAAGTATCTTTGTAATTGTTGAAATTACATGTGACGTGGTGTTAATACAAACACTATCCCAATGTTCTTATTTATATACATCTAGTGCAGGCCCTGTCCAATGACACTGCCACAATAACAAGATTTGTAACCTAAAAGATGACTAAAAATGAGAAATTTCTTTTATCTTTAGGATGATTAGTGATGATTAACTTGAAGACTACATCCCATTCTATCATTGGCCTTTTGCCATATTGTAAATGCTATTCCCTTATTTTTGTTTCCTTTCCCGAGGTTGTTATATATTCTTTCTTTGTTAGGATCCTGTTTCCCTTGATTCATGTTAGATCTTTTTACTTCTATGAATCATTATCTATGTTCTGCCCTATAATTACTTTGATTTCCGTCTTAGACTTAGAAAGATATGAATGTCAACATACGACCATGAAGTTTTGCATATTTCCTAAATATTGACATGTTCAATAGAAAAGAATGAATTTGGTTCAGCAACAACAACCAAAGCCTTTTCACATGAACCAAACAATGTCATCTATCTATCTAAGAATAATTTTCAACGGGCCATTTAGATGTAGCTCTGCTTTAACTGTTTATTCTTCCTCTCTATCCTTAGTTATTGGGCTGTCTTCCTTCTGATTAACTCTTCTTACTTGTTTTTCTGTTGGTCATCTTGTCTTGTCACGTGGCCAAATCATCACAGGCAAGATTCCATCATCAATTTCTTAATAGGTAAAACACATTCATTTGGCACCTTGCCTATGCCTTGTTGGCACTTTACCACTCAAGTTGTCTAGCAAAATTTTCCTCTAGTTACTTTTTGTTTATATAGAGAGATTAGACTTATGAATCACACTATGAAATTGTGGTAAAAGGTGATGGAGCATAAACTACAGGATAAAAACTAGGATTATGAATGCCATAATATTGGTTGAGGATTTAAAAAAAAAGATATTAATGTTAAACATGAATTATGAATAAAGACTTTAGAATCTAAGAGTTTTTGCTTGAGCAGAAGTAAGACGAGTATATGTATTGTAAGTTAAGCAAAAAGTAAGACAAGGGTCATGCATTGAAAGTTAAATTAAAGATAATATTATATCACAAGTTTCCTGGTTTAAGTACTTGGGATTGATTTTACAAAATGATGGAGAAATTAATGAAAATGTTACTCATAGAATACAAGCTAAGTGATGAAAGTAGAGAAAGATATCATGAGTTATTTGTAGCCATAAAGTACCTATTAGGTTGAAAGAGAAATTTACCACACTGCAATACAATCAACTATCTTATATGAAAGTAAATGTTAGGCAAATAACATGAAAAATTAGTTGGAGTGACAAAAATGAGAATATTTAGGTAGATGAGTGGTTGCATGAGAAAGAACAGGATAAAAAATGATAGTATACAGGATAAGAAATGATAGTATCCTTGAGAATATTAAAGTATCACCTATAGTGGAAAAGATGACTGAAAACCATCTAAAGTGATATAGTCACATGCAGAGAAGACTTTTGGAAGCATTAGTGAAAAGAGTGGATGGCATAACTTTTAGTTTGATAAAAAGGGATAAAGGGAGACTCAAAAGAGCTTTAAAGAAAGTTATTAAAAGAAACCTTTTGATAAATAATATTTTTGAAAATTTAATTTTTGATTGAGTTCAATGGCGTCATGTGATCTATGTAACTAACCTCACCTAGTAGTAAAAGACTTGATTATTACTTTTTGTTTAAAGGTTCATTTGAAAGAAAATAGCATTTTAAAACAAACGCCATTTCTGCAATTATTATAGGTACAAGTTCCCTAAATTTAAAGAAGGAAATTAAAAAAATGCTTAACAAGTTTTGGAAAATTACCTTCACATAAATTTTAAAATTAATGTGATTTTAAGTCAAATAAAAAGGATTTGACTTTCTAAGTTTGGTTTCAGTTCAGAAGCCATGAAATTTTAAGTTTACTTTTCATATCCACAAAAATTCATGTATTCTAGGAAACTGCTTTTGGGAAGACAATTAAAGAAAGTTCTAGTGTAATGCTATCAATAAATAATTCCAACCTTTTCAAGTAAATTATCTTTTAGTTAAACCTTAAAGCAATTTTTCATGTCTTTTCTTTTTTTCTGAAATCTTGGTAAAGTGGCTCATATAAATGCAATCAAAGCCAGAAAAAAATTGAATATTATATCCTAAGCAACTTGTAGTGATTAATGCAAAAATACTGATATATTTGTTCTCTATTAGTTTCAAAACTTTAGCATCCTCAAATAATTCTATTTTGTTCTATTTTGCAGTCAATGATCGTTTTTGCCAAACCCATCAAATTTGCTGTATTGTTCACATTTGGCAACCTTTTAGCAGTTGGAAGGTAGATTCAATTTACCTCATTTTTGTCTGTGATAGTTTAGAAATAACTTTTCTCAAAGCTATATACATAAGCAAGATAATATTAGAGTTGAAGATATTTTGGGTATGTCCAGTTTAATGTCTAGAAGATTCTTTTAATGTATATAACCATCCCCCAAACCAAATAATCTGAAGAAAACGAAACCATGTAATAGATAACCATGTTAACTGTGAAGCATTTTCTGCCCACCTTGTCCTATTCACTGTTAGAGCTCTTAACTCATTATTTCAGTGTCTTACTCTTTATTGATAAGGCTAGATGTTGTTTTCCTTTCCTTCCTTTCTTCTTATATGTAGGCCAGATGTTTATTTTCATTCAACTTATTTTCTTCTAACATTTACTTCAATTGACTTTTCAGTATATACACTGCTATGCCAGATTGAGTCATTTTTCTTTGTCTTCCAATGTCCTCGATTTAATTCAATAGATTATCTAACTTTGTTTTGTATGTGTGACAGTACAGCCTTTCTTCTTGGACCTATACAGCAACTGGAAATGATGTTTGACCCTGTTCGTCTCTTTGCCACAGCCATATACCTTGTATGTGTGGTTATAGCACTTATCTGTGCTTTGTGGGTAAGCCTTACTTCTTTGATCTCTATAAGAAAGAACCATTAATTAAGTTCGTATGATTTGAGTATACTACTAACTTTATTATTTAATGTTCTTATGAGTCACAAATGTTCTAGAAACGAGATGAGTGTGTAAATTTGAACAATCTTTTCAGCTTGCCTATCATCCTAATCATATAATGCACACTGACCAATTCTTATTGTTGATACTATTAAATTATTTCTATAATCGACCAAGATGTCTCAATTTGTATAATGACATCATGACTCTGCAGCCTTTCTTAGTTGGATGGCTAACTCATACATTTTTCATACTTTGTAGGTCCATAGCAAGGTGTTGACCATAATTGCTATCATAATTGAGATTGGCGCCCTAATTTGGTAAGTTTGCTTTTAGCAGCCTTGTTTCATGACATAAATTTGGGACATGAAAACCGTTTTTATGGAAGATCATTTCAGAATGAAAATTCTTATCATAACATGTTTGTATTGCACATATATGTAGATCATTAATAGATCCTAGTTCTTACAGGTACAGCCTGAGCTATATACCGTTTGCTCGGAGAATGGTTTCTGAGTTGATGATCCGATTGTGTGATACAGAACTTTGAAAAAAATAAATGAAAGAAAAAGAAACAAAGCAAAATAAGGATTTTTCATGTTTTCTCGTAAAGGTGGTTGCTCGGGGTTTTGATTTTGTAGACTAATTCGTGGTTCAGTTGGTATTACTGATTGATTATGTTAGTTTTGTGTTCGTGAAGCCTCATGTAAGTCTTAATGAGGATTCGTGTTCCTGTCCCAATTCTTTCTGTAAACACTTGAAACATGATAACAGAAAAAGAAAAGTGTTGTTTTGTATATATTTTGTATAATGATACAGTCGGGTTCAAACCTCATGCGGAGAATGATAGCCACTAGGTGGATGCATATAGACATCTTTTGTGTCAATCACCACGAATGAAGGCACTTTTGACATCCATATGATAAAGCTTCTATTGACGAACTGCAGCTGCAGCTAAAAGACTTATAACAAAAGTAAAGCGAGCCACTGGAGCAAAAGTTTTGTTGAAGTCTATTCCATATTTTTGAGTATATCTCTTGGCTACTAAACAGGCGTTTTAGTGTGTAATAGTCCCATTAGAATGAGTCAATTATAAATACACATTTTCAGCCAATAGGAGTATTATGAGGTGGAAGATAAACTAAATCCCAAGTATGAGTTGCCCCTAAAGCTTTTTGTAGTCATGGCTTGCTGCCAAAGGGGTTAGTGCTAGCCTCTCAATAAGAAGAGGGCTTGTGGACAGTTGGAATAACAAATGGCAATGGTAATCAGTGAGATAATAATGGGTTTCTCTTACTCTAGTAGATCAATGATGATTTGATGGTTTTTGCTATCCCAATCCTCTAAACGGTCTGAAAATTGTGTCAGCGACCGATCAAGAAACTTTCCATTCCTTGAACTCGCATGTTATAATTGGAACTGTTCAAGGTGATGGTAATGGGTTTTGAGACATCAGATTTCTCCATGAAAACAGAGAAACAGAATAGGGATATTGTAGAAAAAAAAACGAGAACAGGGAGGGTTCTGCAACTTACGCTCTAGATACCATGACAGCAGAAAAAAGTACAATATACGAAGAAAAGTATTGTTTTATATACACCATGTATAATGATACAATCGAGTTATATACATTAGCGGAGGAACTAATTATGAAAATTTAGAAATTGTACAAAGGATATATGATTGCTAACAAAATCTGCTAAATATTTCTTTTCACAATCTCCTATAATTTGGTGTATCCATATAATTACGCTAACAAAACATATATAAACAATGAATTAAAATTGTTTCCACAAAATTATTGAAAATGATACAAAGAAAAGGGGTGTAAAAAGGGTACATGTACTAAGTAATTTATATACATAGTGTCTCGGGAATCGTTTGGTATACACCGCAATTTTCGTAAAACTCATTATATAAACTCAAGTGGCTGTTCTCAGTCACTTAGAATTTATTAATAGATAACGTATTTAATAATTGTCGGTTCTTCAGTTTTACTTACGTTAACTATGAGGGGGTTAATTTTTCGTACACTGCTGGGTAAATTACAGACCTGGAACCGTATCTTTAGCCAAAAGGAACAGGAAAAATCAAGAATAGAAGAAGCTGAGTGCATTTTTCTATTAATGTTTAAAACATGTTAAAAAGTCAGTATGACATGAATCTAATGTAAAAGTTTTACGGCTTTTTTGCTTAATTATTGTTTTTTATTAAATTATAATTTTTTCAAAACTAATTTTCTGTCCGGAGTCAATTAGTTTTGAAAATATTGTAATTTGGTAATGTAAAAAAAACAATAATTAAGTAAAAAAGAGGAAATTATTTGTTGCAGTATATCTTTAATCACTTTTTGAAAATTCTGGAAGTTGTTTATAAATTATATTTGGAATTATGTTTCAGGAAGAGTGTAATATATTTGAAATTAACTTTTTAGAAGTGGTGCTAAAAAAAAGGAACTGTGACTAATAAAAAGGGGCGTAGAAAGCTGCTGATTACTCGAGCATTTCAGATTTGACCAGAAAAATTGAAGTCTTTCAATTGTAACCAAAAAACAAGGAAAAAAATATTTCAATTAAGTAGGTGTTTAGTCAAATTATGGTATGAGCAGAAGGTCTATAAGGTAAGACTTCTCCTAAACCATGGTTTGGGAGTTTCCACAACTAAAATCAAATATGCTATTAGCTGAATGAAAGTCACAGCAAAATATGGCCCTTAATTCTTAATTTTCGAGTTTTGGGTCCTTGATCAATTTTTAGCCCAATAAGTTTTCTGTGTGTCCCAATAGCACAGGGCTTAACTCTCTAAACGACATGATGGGTTCATTGTTCGAAGGAAAATAGTTGATAGACACTAAACACTCAAATAAGAGAAAAAAAAAAGTGATGAATATGGTTAGATAATGTGACATGATAAGAAGAAACAGATTCAGAGAGATGGAGAACGTTAAATGAGTGTTGATAGGTGTTTATAAACTACAACTGTTGAAGAAAACGATTTCAGCTAAATTCTCACTGGAACCATGTTGAAGTTGAAGTGAAAAAAGTGATAAGGTAGAGAAGTGGTGAATGGTGGGTGTGCTCAACATGAGTCAATCTTCAACTACCCACATTCTTTTTGACTTGGAAAACTCAAGTGTCGTTACACTTTAATCTTATGCTTATTTTAGAGATAATTAATTAATGATTTGGAATTACAACCCACTTTTATTTTATGATATATCCTTTTAATCTTTAACTCCTATCAAAAGCTCTCCCTTTTATTATGTGTTACACATCTCACCCTCTTTCTGGGTCCTAGTGCTTGTTGCCACTTACCATAAATTTTGATTCAACATTAGGTATTTACTATAAATTTTGAAATTTTTTCATAATTAGTGTAAGTTGTATTCTCTAAATATTACTTATCAATAATTAAACAAAACAAGTCATAAATAACATACACAACTTATATATTTTTATTTAAAATTAACATATATTAAATATTAACGGTACTTCTAATATTAGAAATATAGTTAGTTATTTTAGTAAAAAAGAGTAACATGTGTTAAATTAATAATAGTATGTTTTTAAAGAAATAAGTATATATTACATTTTTATAATTTTAATATACAAATATATTACTTAAATAATAAATATTTATTTTTAAATACTTGAAGTCAGTTTTTAAGGCCGAGTTAAACCGGTCCTTTAACTTCAATCCTTATACTAAGCCATCAACTTGCTTATCATAGCGAGATACATGACAAAAAATAAAAAGTGAGAAGAGTGGATAGAATAATTCGGTCCTTATCACGTGGTACAAAGCCTTTGCTTTCTTTTTACATTAATTAATAATCCTCACAAGAGTAAAAGGTTGGTGAACTTTTTCTTTTTCAATTTTCTTTTTCCCAATATAAAAGTACGTGTGCTTATAAGTTGCAGCTTCAACCAAACTTATTCATAATATTTTTCATTAAATAATATGAGAATAAATAAAATAATAACATTACATGAATGTTTTTTTTTTTTAAATTTCAGAATATTATCATTATTTCTCAATAAATAATTGGCTAATATTAAGAGACCAGCCACAAGTTACATTTTCTTTCTGTGATTTCCAGTGACCAAAAGAAAAGAACGTTTCTAGACAAAATCATTTGTATGAAATAAAAAGAGTTACATGCCACAAATAAGCATTTATAACCTATGATTTTGCTCTCCTAAGCTTTATTTGATTCCTACATCACCGTACCCATTTGACAAATCAAGTGTGTAAATTACACGCAAATATCCTGACATCATTGCAGTTAGGTTTATTATGGAAAAAAAACCAAAACATTTCATCATAAAAATATCAGCCAGTGGCATAAAATGTCAGTGTCATGAACAACATCTGAAAGTTTCCAAACACCTTTCTCATAAATAAAACAAAAAAAAAATGGAGTAGGAATGGAATTTGGTTTTGACTAATCCATTGTACAAAACAAAACGATACACAAAGCCAGGCAATTTGAGTTCTTTTATTTATTATTTTTTGCTAAAAATAATAAGGCAATTTGGGTAGGTGAAATAGTTTAATTGATTAGGATTAGGATTAGGATACTATTTTTCTGATACCAAGTTTATAATCAAAAGAGGAGTAAAACTAGAGTTTTCACTAAGTTACTGTTTGAAACTTTCCCAGCTACCACTCAATGATTGTGAACGATGTATCACCTACTAATAACCAACCTACCACACCATCTAACCCTATTGAGGCATGACCTCATCAAATAACACAAGGTTTTGAGAAATAAATAAAATATGTACTACTAAGATTCCAAACAAAACGGTTAGGATTCCATTTTGTTTTAAAATGAAAATTTCCTCTGGGAATCATGAGAGAGAGTGGCGTGACATTCATCTTTTGATTATTCTTTGTCCATTATTGAATTGTTTAGAAGATTGTTTTAGGGATGCTTAGTTGTTTAATCCACAAAGAATCAATGAAAGCACTTTCAAGAAATTTGAGTCAAATAAAGCCATCTAATTGCTTTTCGAAGGGGTTTGAGTTGATACCCACCATCCATCATTTGACTAAATTTGAATTATTTGGAGCAAATCTATGCTTTTGATAAACTAAAATTTCCTGAGCCATCTGCTTTTTGTTTGTCTTCCTAATAGAATATCAGATGTCCACTTATTTCATTTGCTAGATTTTTACTTTTCAGTGCACTTTGGCACCTTTTAAAAAAATGCTTCATTTTTTAATACCGAAATTTACACAAGTATTAAAATGATAATGGAAAGCAATTCCTTTTGTCTGTTTTTTTAGTTCATTTCCTTTTCTTCTTTTTCTTTTAAAACGATCGACAACTATCAAGAACTTTGAATATGATACTCAACTAATTTATTTCTCATTTAAATGAATTAGACTAATTTTGTTCAAATATATTTTTTTTTTGTTGAATTAAAATTGACTCAATCTATTTAAATGTAAAATACAAATTTGATTTAAAATTATTATTCAATTTACTGAAACCAATGAAACTTGAACCTCAAATCAAACTAATCCATTTAAATACTTTTAACATAAAGTAACATATGAAATTGCAAATAAAATATAATTAATTACACACACAAACTTGGACTAATTTTGAGTTTTTTTAATCTTGAATTCAAGTTGAATTAGTAAACATGAAGTTATGTTTTAAATTATTTTTCAATTTTGTTATGTAAATAAAAGGAGATATTTGTTTTACTTAATCCAATGAAATTTCACTATCAAATTAATAGGCTAAGCAACTTCCT